GCTCGCCAGCTAAAATAATAGGACATAATAGGAAACAGAAACATATCAACAAAACAGTGTGTCCCTCAACACTGACACCATTTTGTCGTCTAATAACATTGCCAATTCTCACTCAAATGATCTCAAACCTTTAAAAAAATGAGTAAAAAAGAAGTTGAGTGTTTAATTTTTCTTTATTTTATGGCGAAGAATGAAGTTTACTACAAAGGAAAGGGCATTTTTTGTGTTAGAATATGCTCGAACACAGTCAAGCAAGTGTGCATTTTCGAGAAAATTTCTAAAATATGCAACATCTAGAAAGAAGATTTGGACATGGTAGAAAAAAATACAAATAAAAAGGGAATGCTCCCTTTTCAAAAGAAAGGGATGACCACAAGTATTGGAAAATATCACCAATCACCTTTGGGCGAACATTTGTACGATGTTCCAGGAAGTCTGGGAGAAGAGCATCTATTGAAACCCAGATTCCTCCTACGACACTTTGGCGCTGGAGAATGTTACGCAAGACATGCTACAGCGTGTCTTACAGGAGTTGGACTACCAACTTGACTTGTGTCATGTTACAGGTGGTGCGCATACTGAACATTTGTGAAGTTTTGTGAAATCGGACATAAAATTTACATCCCGTTAAATAACTTGTTCAAAGTTTTGGTAAATAAATCTTTTATTGTTCAAAATGAAGCCTGTTTAATTTAATTTGCCTGCGACATGTATTTACACAGATATTCACATGTTAAATGATGTTAACTTTTTTGGACACCCAGTATAGTGAGATGGGCATAAATTTATTAAAAAGAAATTCTGTCCCAACAACCGATCCTTCTGTTTATATAAAGAATTTTGTTTTCATTTAATGAACATAGTTTCAAGGACTTTTAAATGATAGTTAGAATGAGATCAGCATCAAAAGAAGAACATGTTCGTTCGGAAGAGCTTTACACACTCAAGATTTATTTTTAATGTGTTCAGAAGCCAATCAAAGTACCAAAGGAATCTTTTTTATTTTTCTCCCGTTTCAATGTTGATAGGATTTTTCTTTTCAACTTTTGAAACAAAAATAATGAATGTTAAAAAATCGGATCTTTAATAAGGAGGATGAAAGTGAAGCACAAGAGTAAACAAAGTAGAGTAGTGAGTTCGATCCTCACTGGATGCACATACTTTCGGCCTCGTGTCACATCTAACCTACGCTTTGAAGATCACCACCTGAAGTAAACAAAGTATTAAGAGACATATAGCAATGGCGAAAGATGTCTTCCAGAAACTAAGCAACGTATTTGGAAATAGGAATATGTGGTTAGAAACAAAGAAAAGGGTTTTGGACTGGTATATAATTTCTTTATGCTAACGAATGCTAGATAAGCTTTGTAGAAGTGGAGAGAAAAAGAAATGATAAAGGTATAGCTCTCCCGATTCACAGAGAGAATACCATGGACAAAACATGAGAGAAATAAGGAAGTGTTAAGAAAAGTAAAAACTACAAGCAACTGAAATTTACATTGATTAAATTGTTTGATTGGTTTCTTTCGTACGGCTTATCAAATTTTTGTGGGCTATTTAAAGCTAGAAAATATTTTTAGATTGCAACGAGTTTTTGAGGTAATAAATGTTTTACTAACACAAGTATTACAATTTCAGATATAGCTGGGGGAGACAAGATGGAGTTATATTATTCCCTTTGTTTTGATTTAATGCGTTATAGATATTATTCATTGTTTTTTGCGTCCTGGGTATGACGATAAACTACATCCGCGTCCCGCGTAAGACGATAAACTACATCCGACAGCAAGGCCCTTGATCATCAATACGTTTTTGGAAAAAATATTAACAGAAATAATTTCTGAAAAAATATTACCAACAATAAAAAATCTTATTAAATAAGCCATTGAGGTTGATATGCCGTAAACCAAACCAAACCAAACCAAGTTAAACCATTGATTTGTTTTTTTTTACGCCATAATTTTTTTCGGGTTATTTAAAGCCCTAAATTATTTTTACATTGTAAAAATTTCTTTTTCGGGATAATAGCGAGTCCTACCAATTAATCCATAACTGCGAGCAGAAGCGGACTCATATTTTCCCAAATATTATTTTCGTGTAAACGTATATAACCTGACTGGAATTGGAACCCGGCTAACCGATTTTCAATTCTGAACATTTATTCGTTACACCATTCGCACATCCAAGGTCACACCACCTGGTATTTACCCATCTAGGTACTGCTTAACTTCAGTGATCATACGAGAACTAGTGTTTCAACGTGATATGGTCGTAAGCCTGAGTTACAATGAGGAAAAGACTACTGAAATTTCTTGGGCATATAATGAAAAGAAATAAAGTTTTGAGTTTATCATTTATTGCACATACGGAAGCCAAGAAAAATAGTAAGAAACAGTGAGCCCTCTAACGAGTTTGAGTGAATGGTTGGTCAAAAAATAAATTTATAACAATAAGATGAATGAATAAGCATAGCATATTAAAAGAGACAAAGTTGTGGCGACACATGATCAACCTTAACTTGAAAGGACACAGCACATTAACGAAGTGGGGTTGTACGAATTCACACCCGACAGTAGATTAGTAAGTTACAATGTGAAAGTGAAAATTTCGAATTTATTTATTATGCAAAGTAAAATCACGCTTGGATGTGCTGTTTTTATTCTCTTGTTTTTACTGTTTAAAACACAAAAAAATAGCCTAATATAGGTTATCCTATGCTTTATTACACGTTATAAACAATCGTGGTTATTTTCTGGTTCATATTAACAAACAAATAACTGTTGTAGAATAGTTAAAATACCTTTCTATCTGGCACTATCAGATTCACTTTTATTTATTGCTTATGGAATGATCTGCAAGTTCCTATTGCTATCATTTAAGTATGTAGAAGAGCAAAACTTTCGTAACGTTTTTATTTTATAAATTAGTATGGGATGACCAGATAGTGCCTAGTGTTTATTTTAATCATTTAACCACAAAGAAGGCAATAAAGCCACTAAGACGCAAGGGGTTATATTGAGGATGAAATAGTATGAGAAAAAGAAAAACATTATTAAGGAAAGAGAACAATGAAAGAACAGAAATTAAGAAGACAGGTGATAACAATTGATATTGGATTTAAGTTTTTGAATATCCAATTTTAATTCAAAGTAAAAAACCGTAAAAAAGAGTTCTACAAGCCAGGGGTGTGATAGAAGAAACTGTTAGCATAGAAGTTACGGTTACATCTACCCAGATCAACTGCAAAATGATGGCACTAAAATCGAAGCACCAAATAGGAAAGCCCATCAGAATTTTGCCATAAAAATATTTATAGAAAAGTGTTGTAGAGTAGCTAGCACCTCTCCATCACTCTACCAGATGGCCTGGCTCATAGCCTTAAATAGTCTACGATTAAGGACTTCAGCAGTTAATTAATGAGTTGAAACTAAGCTGATTAATATTCGGATTGATCTTACTTCGTTTGTCTATACAGCATTTGAGCCTCTTCTAGTCCTTGTAAGTTGTCTTGTTAATTGTTTGTAACTTATTGTTCTGTGTTTTTTTGTATGTATCCGTTAGCACCGGTTACTAGTACTGAATAAATATATTAAGCCCGCATTCTTCTCATCATTCACCTCGATGATACAACAAAAAGACACAAGGAATCTAAACTAAGATGAATCGATGAATCGAAAAGTGACTGAAGTCGAGATACCAGGTCAGGATCGTGGATATTGCAGATTCTTCTTTGGATTTTCTGAAGAACAAACAAGGTATGGCAGCAATGCATGGACGCATGATAAATTTATAAATGGGTAAGATAGATTCTGGTAAGAAAATTTGTCTAAAGACGCAGGGTATTAAATTTCCTAGTAGAAACCTAGCCATTGATTCAATATAATCTTTTGGCTTCATATCAGTAGAAAATAATTAGTTTGAGAAGAAGCACCAAGTTACTCTCCTGGAAGGCAAAAATAGTTATCTAACACGATTATTAGTGTAAACGTTGAGACATTTTAGAATAGTGGAATTATCATTCAATTAGAATTAAGGTATTATCTATAGGATGATCGGTTAGTATTTATTGGTATAATGTAGTCATTTTAGAATAGCGAAAATATCATTCGATCTCTCACTGTCAGATATCATAAGTAATTTATAGGTTGACCTGATAGAATTATAATCGACATTATATAGATTTATAATTTTTACGTTATAAATTTACAATTTCTTCAAACTAAAGTGATTCTTCGTTTCCTTTAACAAAAACGTATAAGAAACAAAATATTCCGATGTTAAATATCTATATTATGGTTTGTACATATACTAAATACAGGGACAGTTGTAGAAAAATGACATGAATCCAATTACTAACAAATGGTTTTATATTCAAGATGATGACGTTTTACTATAGTGAGAGTCGAAAAAGAAAATGAAATCCTTTTATAAAAGTGACCATCCAACTTTCCGGGGAGATCAACAGGGAAATAAGTGACAAACTAGATTCTGGTGTTTGTGGAGAAATATTAATTTGACTCACAATAACAAGGACAATTGCAACTCTTCGGTTGAAAGTGAAAGTGAAAGTGAAATTAGGGAAAGATCAATAATATTCAGAATTAATATAAGAAAATTAGCTAGCTAATAAAATTCTTACACTACCGTAAGACAACCCATTTAGCTCTTTTATTCTCTTTTATATATATATATATATATATATATATATATATATATATATATATATATATGTATGTGTGTGTGTGTGTGTGTGTGTGTGTGTGTGTGTGTGTGTGTTTGTGTGCCCGCGCGTGTGCGTGCCTACGTGAGTTCGTGTGTGTGTGTGAGTTGTGTATATTATCACATATGTCGAGGTGTATTTTATATGTGTTATCTGCTTCCATAATCGGGGATGAAATTGTGCTGATAGAAGCATGGGACGAAACACTCAAGTAATGTTTTCAATGCCAATTCCATTTCATTGTTTATGGATGCGTAAAGAATTATTACCGGTTTGTTGCTTATAGGAAAGTTAAATGAAAGGCAGAGATGGACAGAGAATAAGGACAGATAGATAGAGAGATAGAGAGAGAGAGAGGGGGGGGAGAAAGAAAGAGAGAAATAGAGTGAGTGAAAATAAGAGAGATGGAGTAAATGTGATAGTGAGAAGGTGAGAGAATGAGAGGGAGTGAGATAGATAAATATAGAGAGGAGATAGAGAAAGAGATTGAGACGAGGAGTGAAGGAAAACAAGTGTAACAAAATGGAAAAGAGAGGGAGAAGAAGAGAGAGAAGGGGAAAGAAGGAGATTGAATGGGAAAGAGACGGAAAGAGAGAGAAGCAGACACAGAAGGAGTGAGGGAGCGAGAGAAAAGGAGGGTGATAGGAGAGAGAGAGAAAATGGAAGAGAAGAAGAAAAGGAGGAGTGAGAAAGGTATTAATGGAAAATGAGAGAGAAAGAGGGAGAGAGAGAGAGAGAAGGGGGGCGTCATTGATAGGGTGTCTACTTTTGGAAAATAAATACTGCCCATCTGAAATCGAAACTCACACATACATACACAAACACATACGCACACACAAAACGGTATTAACTATTCCTAGCATCGAGCAGGATTAGTTTTCCGAGAAAATATTTTTATAAAAAATAGGAACAATTCTTTTCAACACAGTTCTTTTTTTAGAAAAAGATACAGAATTTTCATTGAAAAGCATAAGTTAATTACAGTATTCGGACTGTTATCCTCATCTTCATGGCCATATTCACAAAGTTTCGGCCGTTGTACGCTCTGAACTTCTTCAGAGGATTGGAATTTCGAACCGAACTCTTTATTTCGTCCTTTATTTCATCGGGGGGACAGATTGTTCTAGTTCAACATGTCATGCTTCTTTCGGTTGTCTCCCTTTAACTCAACTCTCCAAGACTTTTTTTGTAGCCTGGTATTGAACTCAAAACACTTTCGGTTTAGTCACTGGATCGAACCAACGCCTTTATCCACTTGGCCATGTGTCCTTAAGGGCCAACAGCCGAAAAGTTGTGAATATGCAATGAAGATGAGAATAACAGTCCGAATAATGTAAATAATGTAAATAATCATAATACCTAATCTCAGCGATATAGACAGTTAAAGCACACGTTATTTGAAATCTTTCAATAAGGGAATAGAATTAAAAAGAAATAAATAAAAAAAGTCATACAATTAGATGTTATTTATATAACCCGAACATTGCTAAAAAAAAAAAACTCACTGATTATATAAAAAGCAAATCTTTTCAGATTACGAGGCAGGCTGGCATCAAAGAGCACGAAACCATTGTATTATTTACCAGTGAGTACTTTATCCGTTTCAGGTACTGATCGCAAGTGATGTTACTTAATTTCGATGATCATATAACAGTCGATAATTAGATAAATCTTTTAAGTCCTGGGTATGACGATAAACTACACCCTATTGATCAGGAGACTGGAGGTTTTGAGGAGCGTGGAAACATTTCTTAATTGCTGTTGTTCCCAGGTTTACCCTGACGGGGATGCTAACACCTGTTAACGCCCCAACGTTGGGCAATTAGTGAACCCCCCCATACAAAAAGAAGCCACTATGAAAGTATAAAATTACATTTTATAGTAAAAATACCAGCAATGCATTTTTATATACAAAAAAAATTATCAACGATACATTTTATTGTAAAACGGCCAACAATATTATCTGTAGTTGAAGTCATTCAATTGCGCTCAAAATAGTTAGATTTTGGCATTAAATGACCCATAGCGATGTTGATATCAATATAAAACAAATCTTTGGGGTAAACAGTGTGAATCGAACCTGGATTAAAATGGCTCTTATCTGACTATCTCTCCAGGCGTTACTTGAAGACAAAGCGATTAAAAGTTATTCACGAAATCTAAACATATTTAATCAAAGTCGAAAAAGTTTGAATAATGACCGAAAATAATAATAATAATAATAATAATAATAATAATAATAATAATAATAATAAACAAACGGAAAATAGGTTTAACAGAAACCTTGTAAAGTTGTAACGCGAATCTCGTCCGGGAGTAAGTGATGTAAGTAAAATGTCTGGACATTTTGATTGTCACGAGTGCGTATTGATCCTAATCTTCAATGACCGCCTGCGTACTTATGATCAACAAGTTTGATGAGTATACTTAATTTAACGCTATATCAATAAATGCTACGTTATTTAATGGGGGAATATAAGTCTAATGGGTAAGAAAATCATAGTCTATTTGTATTAACACAAAGGCAGAAGTAGATTCCTTTTAGAGTATAATCAAAACACAGACCTAGAAACAGGAACAGCTTACACGGGAGTCGAAAAGGTAGACTTAGAGTCGGTTTTTCCCTAGAGCCAAAAGGCAGATGTCGAAATAGTTTCAGTTAATACCAGAGTAAAACGTATAATATAGACCCGGTCTACAATAGAACTAAAAAGGCAGATATAGAAATATTTCTGATTTACGCGATTGTCGAAAATGTAAAATAGAACCAGTTTACAGTAGAAACTAAACGTAGCAGTAAAAATAAGTTCAATTTATAGGTGAGTGAAAACCATAGACATAGTTTCAAAACAAAAAGCATTTAGATTGAGAAATCCGCAATTGACCGCAAAAGTATGGAAGAAGGATGATATTGTGCGTGTGATTGGATCACCGCGGTATTATTTATTTAGTGATCTTAAAATGCATTAAATGCAAAATGCACATTTATACATATAGCAGATGCAATATATGTAAAGATGTTTGATCGAAATACGCACTGTGCTCATTGAAACTTGTTGTTTGTCATGATAATACAAAGCTGTATACAATAAAAATAACACCGGAAAATAATTAGGCCTCAGTTCTGTTCTAGCCAATTTCATCATAGTCACATTGATCTCGTACCCATCGATTACTACCTTTTTTCGGTAGCTGTAAAATGCTTTGATGGCGAAAAATTTCTCTAATGAGAACCAGAGCTCGTCGACAATATTTTTTCACATCAAAAGCGGCAGAATTTTACTCAAAAGGTATCGCAGACCTTTCTGTCTTGTGGCAAACTAGTCATTTCAAATAATGTTGAATATATAATTGAATAAAATGTAACTGCACGTTGTTTTGTTTTTCAAGATTAAAGTTGGTAAACGAAAATATAAATTATTTATGACTCAACCCAATGTAATATGAAAACTCTATACAATGATCGGTTACGCAGCTCCCTGCCCTAGTGATTTCATTATTATCAGAACAGTAGACATCCAGACACATAAAATAAACTAACAAGCCTCAAATTATCATCACAAAAGAACACATTGACATAGAGCGAATATTAGGTTGCTAATACATTGCTTCTTTACATTATTACGACTATTGTCCTCATCTTTATCACCATATTTATTACAACGTTTCGGCCATTGTACGCTCCGGCCTTCTTCAGGTAGTTGGAATCTCGAACTGAACACTTTATTTCAATCACGCCTTTATCCACTATGCCATGTATCCTCAAGGACACGTTGTAATAAATATGGCGACAAAGATGAGGAGAATAGTCCGAATAATGTAAATAGTGTACATAATACCTCATCTCAGAAATATAGACAGATACTGAAAGGCCAAAACGTTGTAATAAATGTGGCTACAAAGATGAGGAGAATAGTCCGAATAATTTAAAGTGTAGATAATACCTCATCTCAGAAATATAGACAGATATTGTTTCTTATATATCATTTTTATATATTCTCTTAATATTTTCACTTTTAATAATTTCAAAATTAAAATTCATTTTTACATGCGGCAATAGGGTTAATTGTATAGACAGAAACCCTTGATAACTGATATACAAAAAACTATAACCAATGCACTTGCAATATTAATTAAATACTTCTGCCATTATTTGGTGGTACGAGTTGTATTAACTTTCTGTTGTTGCTTTCAGTGATTTTAAAAGCAAAATGATTACCCGTGACAATGAAGTTAAAAAAAGTGGTATGATAGTCGGCAAACCGAGTTCGAATTCCACCCGAGTTTAGTACATTCTTTTACGTACTAATAACTTTGCGAAAGTTATGAAAGATCTTCTCCCACCTACTATGGCAGTTAGGAGATCATGGCACTCCCCAACTTCCTGTCGTTTGTAGCTCTTAATAAATTTTAACATTCTGTTATTTCTCCAAAACCATGTTCCGCCATTTATTTACTCAAGCTCATCAAGTGTGTTAAGAACTATTTATAACTGTCTCTCTTGCCTTGCATCCGACCTATGAGTATTAGATTTTCCAAGGCCTCCTTCTTTATTATATGAGCCAGAAATTTCAACTGTCTTTTCCTGATGCTAATTATAATTTTCCTTTTTGTTTCCATTTTCTTTAAAACCTTGTCGTTGCTCCCATTTCGGTCCATGATATCCTCAGCATCCTTCTGTAGAAAGTTATTTCTGTTACTTCAGGTCTCTTCTTTATTTTTGAAGAGACTTTCCAGTATTCACTTCCATTTAGGAGGACAGATATCGCGTAACTCTTTCCTTTGTTTCTAACGACATTTTTCTGTCTCTTAATACTCTGCTTAGCTTTTGAAAAGCATCTTTGTTTATCCAAATGCGTCTTCGAATTTTAGTGCAGCGCTTTCTGTTAGAACACTTGCTTTGAGATTTTCTCATTTCTTTTTAAATGTAGGAAGGTGTTTGTATAATCATTAACAAAATATAATAAAAAAATAATAATGTAAACCTCATAAATCTAAGCATTTTGTCATAAATAAACACACATCAAATTCGACAAATTCTTACGAAGACGAAAACATTTCACAACAATAAGTGCCTTTACAAAATTTCGGTCCTCACCCATTTAAAAATTACTGTTGAGAAAATAGAGTAAACAGATCAAATTGATTAAATCTTCATTGGGAATAGATTAAATATCTATCTCTTTTAATGTACGCATAAACCGAGTAGTGTCTAGAAGAACATTTTCTAGTCATTAATCAGTAATTAGAGTGATATTACTAAAATTTGTTCGGTATCTAATGGCAACAAATTCGATTGTTAATTATTGGAAGGAAAAATATTTCAGATTTCCCTTCTATACTGTTCTGACGTTGGAGCATTTAATGACGCTAACATGCTAGAAGCAAACGGCTGTGTGTGTTACCTATATGGCAACAAGCGGAAGCCAATGAATATGCATTTCCTTTATTGTAAGTGTCATTAATCTTAAGTCAACTCAATATGGAAACTGCATTAAAAACTCATTAGCCGATTTCTTCATTTGCCAACATGGGATTTTCATTGCGCTTTTAAGACGTCGATATTTTATAAGCAAACATAGAAATATTTGTTTTCATAAAGGTCAAATTTGTAAACCATAAATAAGGAAATATTACTTTCCAGAGTCAAACGTTCAATCTGTTCAATGGTTTTCTATCAACCTTTCATCTTTCATATGACGACTCGCTTTAGGACATAGGCGATCATGGCTCTTCACAGCTTCCTGTCTT